AGGGGAGTAGGCAGGCTGGCAAGGCGAGTACGCATGCGTTCGAGCTGGCGAGCAGGCGGGCTGGCGGGCTAGCGAGCAAGCGAGCAGGCGGGCTGGCGAGCAGGTGAGCGTGCGAGCTGGTGAGCAGCCGGGCTGGCGGGCTGACAGGCTGGCGAGCAAGCGAGTAGGTGGGCAGGCGAGCAGGCGAATGTGCAAGCTGGCGCAGGCTACGAGCGGGTGGCAGGAGGTGGGATGGCCACAAACTAAGGCGCTGGCGGGCGCGGGCCAGCGGCGGCTGGCGTGAGCAACGCGACGAAGAGGAGAGGGCGCGGAGGGGATGAGCTATAAGGCGTGCAATTAAGGCCGAGGCACGCTAGGCTAGGTTGTGCTAGGGCAGAAGCATGAGTAGAGGGCGAGACCTAGCTGTGATACCATGTTAGATTGTCGAGAGAATGGTGAGCTAAAGGAAAATGTCGAGGGTTACAAAGGTACAAAGGTACGACTGTACCCTCTAAGAACTGACCTATAACAAATATAAACTAGCTAGCCTAGCTAATTATATTTGTTCACACATTGTACAAGCGCCTAAAACGGGGAGATGTGGCACCCAACCAAGTCGTGAATGATGCTGCATACCCTCTCTGCGAGTATTGTCTCACACCTTTACATGCAACGAGCAGGCGCCTGATGAAAGATTGGGAACAAACATTTAACACGGTTCAGAGCTTGACTCGAATGGCTGTGGAACGATCTATTGGAGCAATTAAGAAGCGTTGGCGGTTATTTGCAGGCCGTAGTGAGTGCCGCGTGTGCCGTGTGTGCCGTGGAATTGCATGCGTAATAGTTCTACATAACATTATCACTACCATAGACGGCACATACGCTGTCCGTGTAGACCCTGAGGACCTGGACGAAGACGGCAACATACACGACTGGTGGAACAGAGAGGGCATGCAAGACTATGAATGGCAACCTACAGTGCGATCTACAAGAACTACAGGAACGGAGTAAATGATTCGGCCGCGACATCGACAATGCCTATGAGAAGCGTTACACCCGGGATTAGCCCGGGATGGTGTAGATTCTACTACGGGCCATTCAGAAATTCTCTCATAACATCAAGCCCATTGTCAGGCTCTTCTGCCGCAGCAGGTGGGGGGGGGGCGAGAGGGGGAATTCAAACACCTGCTGAGCTGGGTCTGGGCGTGGTGTACGAGTAGGGGGAGGTGGCATCTGCGGATCCGGCTGCCTAGCCGGCTGCATAGTGGCATTTGGAGCACCTGGGAATGGGGTACCTGTCTGCACCGGTTTCTGCCATGCCCCTGGAGCTCCATTGGTAGCACTAGCAGCCGCATGCACTCCAATAGCCTGCACGATGACACCGATGAGCTGGTCAATCTTGGCAACACCAGCGGCATTGAGCTGCAGCATGGTTGCGCCGTCCATGGATACCCCCTCTCCCCCACGCCGCTTCGGAGTCCCACGTGCATTGCGCGACTTAGAGTAGGCCAATCACGTCAAGTCATCCCAAAAATTAGGGTGGCAAAATGATACTCCCAAGATTGCCGCAGGTAACCTGAGGGTTTCGCGCTGGGGGGTAACCCTGGGGCTTCCGACTGAGTGACCTCGGGGAAACCGACGGTCAAAATACCTTTCGATGTGACCCGTGGGAAACCCACGAAGTCACACCTTTCCGAAACCTTCGGGTTACCCTCAGGTGTCATCAGGGCTAGGTGGGGGGAACGTGAGGGCATCCCTTTTCCGAGGCACGTCCTTGATACAAGCCAGTCGATACGCGTACAGTAACTTATAGTACACCTGAAAAGTAATTAAATGCTCTCATACAAAAAATTATATTGGTACATTCCATTCGTGTTCTTCTCCAATGCTCATTTGCCAATAGCAGAATCGACAGATTTTACAGGTTTACAGCCCAAAATTATTGCTAATACATACAGATTTTAGTCATCAGGTTTACAACATTTCAGTATTCAAAATTTCGACCTGTTATTGATAATACATACACCACAAATATTTCGGACTGGAACGAATGGTTCGTAACTCCGTGGAAGTGACAATCACCAAACTTAGTACACATAATCTATACAGTAAGGATGGAAAGAGAAAGCAATAAGCAAAACTGTTCAAAAAGAAAAAAGACAGGGAAAGGAAAAATAAACAAAACCAGTTTACGCTTCTTACAGTTAGGCATTCAGAGCCCGGACCAGAGAAATGCTTCACAAAAAGAGTGTTGGCGGGACACAACCCGAACCTCTCTCTGTACAGCTCCGGCAGGATAACAGACATCGCAAGTTGGCACGGCTGCTGTGATGAAACAAGACGAAAAAACAGGCATACACAGGTATGCAATGGCAAACCGCGAAGATGTGCCTTACCCTTCTTCGTAAATGGCAGTGAGCCACTGTCGAAAACGCGACTAGTATCAGCCAAATTAATCACGTGCCATCACCTGAACGACAGAGGTCCAAATTTATGAAAGAACCTTTGCCTTCGTCCTGGAAAAACGAAAAGCGGGAATAAGACACGGTTTGAAGTGACAAAACGCCATAACACGAATGCCAACGTCCGACCAAAGACCATGCAAGAATGGGAGTTGTGACCGGGACAAAACCACAAACGGAGAATCAAACATATGAACCAGACTCGGGTACGGGTCGACGCGCAGAGTTGTACCTAGGGTATACGCACAGGTACGACATCGATAAGCTGACCGTCCGAGGGCCGCGGGCTTGGGTATCTGAGAGAAACAAAGAAGATAGTATAGCGTTAATTCACGAATTGTGACAGGAGGGGAGCAGCTAACTCGAGCATGAAAAGCAGGGATGCTAACACGAAGTGACGCGTTCACCCTATCCTGGTCGCCGTGCCTGATGTGAACGGTGCATCGCTAAGGAAGAAAGGTGGAAACTGGCGTGAGAAACAATGAATGGAAGGACTGAGGATTGAGTTCAGTTTAAGTCCAGTGAGAGCAGCCAGATTAGCCCAACGGAGAACTTGGGTTTGGAGTCGTGTTCCGAGATTCGAGTCTGTGTGTTCGTTGCGTAGCGCTGTACGTTGAACACCATATGTCGCGTGCATATTGAGCCGATATTTTGTAACAAGGCCTTAGATTTCGACTTTCATACTGAACCTTGTCGTCTGGAATCGCCTAGCAGAACGCACCCCACCTTCGTTCTGTCCTTACCAGACTTGTGATTTCGCATGCGTTGGCAGCCGAAGAATAGGAGAAAACGATGGTGTGCTCTCATTGGTCAGCTGTTGGAAGACCGTACCCATCAATATCGTACGCGTAAAAGCGGCCCCGTCTAGAGTCATACAAGTTTGATAATTTATGTCTAACTAGTTTTCCACTTCGTTGTACACGCATGTATGCAATTGGCGGCACAACTCCAGGCCTGGGCTTCGCACCTTGCTATTGGCCAGCACGAATTGATGGTTTGAGTCCAAAATCAGCTTGGTAAGCAGATCCTGATTGGCTGTCAAGTTTCGTTGTGAGGGGCAGCGAATTATTTTGCCTAGGTAACAGCTTCGCCTTGCTCACAGGTTTCTCCTGGCACTCTTGGGGGGAACAATGGGGCATCCTGGCGTAGGACACCTGTGGGTATCCCTCGCCCCCAAGGCCACTTTGCCTTCGCAGAATTTTGGGATGGTGGCTAGGGCCAATGTCGTCTGAAATTTTAGAAATCGTATTTCACTTCGTCTGGGAAATCAGAAATTGAAATTCCGCTCCTCTGATGAACAGACGGGCCCGAAGGCCCCGTCTGATCACTCAGAAAATAAAAAAGGGCTAACGAGGGCCCTGTCAGTCCGCTAACGAGTAATTGTCGGGGTGATTTCGTCACATAATTTCGTACCATATGCCTTAGGGAGAGCCTGGAGGAGGGCTGGGTTGGGTTGGGCTGGGGCTGGGGGATATACTATTCATAACCCCACCGCATCCTTGCCGTTCCTTTGCGGAAATGTTCCATAACCCTTTTAAACGTCACGGAACCGAAACATAACATACAAAAACGTTTTTAACCGTAACACACCACAACGCACAATAGTGCTCGATCACGGCCCCCATGGTCGCACACGCGCCAAGAGCTGTTCAAAGTATCTGTGGCTCTGACATCAGCCTTTATCCGATGCCATGCCCTCCAAAGACGATGTCATTGCCTTTACAAGCTGCACTTTGAACACCCTTCCCTGGCGAGGTACTGTAGCAATGCTACTGTTCCTACATTTGCCACCCAAATTTTACAAAATCAAATTTTGAAACCCCGATTTGGAAACAAATGTGCGAAGCTCGTGAACCCGAACTTCGTAGCGAAACATCCAACTTCGTTTCGCCAAGTTGGCGAAAAGCGTTCGTGAGGAAGGTGTTGTTTGGCGCGGGTGAGTCAAAGTTCGTGTGGTCGTGCAAAAGTTCGCGATCTTGCCCGTGAAACTGTTCGTTATCCAGCGTCGATTTGCTCTTGGGTTTGGGGCCCGACGTTGGCTACTTTGAACGCCGACGGGAGTGTCTTCGGCTTATAAGCATACCCAATGTCGGATTTTCTCCGACGACGAGTTACTTTGAACCGGATCTTGCTCGAGTCAAACCCTCGGTTTTGTCTCACCAGGTATAGTGACACGAAACAAGATTGACATACATTTATAGAGGAGAACCCATATACACAAGAAATGTGTCATAAAAACTTAGGTTAATATCAACATACTTTGTACCGCATTTAAGAATGAACATCTTAGGATGTCACACATGTTATAAGCCCGTGGATACTTCCAGAACCATAAATTCCATAAAAAACTATAGGGCATATTCTTACATCGCCCAATTCGTGATCCAGCAAATATGAGTAAAGGGAAAACAAGGATACGATAGGGCAAACGTGACTATGGATTTTCCAAAATAATAGGAGCTTTGTTTTATACGTACTGTTTGTCAAACTTGTGTATTTGTCATGTTTGTATAGACTGTATAGGGTCGCCTCTTAGAGAGTACAACACTTAGGTATATCTTTGTGTACTCTCACTCTATCCATTATTCAATTTTCAATTCTGATATGGTATCACGCGTAGGTAGGATCCCCCCCCACCTACCGCTTCCGCTCACCCCTCTAGCCCCTAGCCCAGTCGCGACCCCCCCTCGCACCGTCACGCCCCTCACTGGGCCCCGTCGCGCTCCTCCCAGGCCCAGTCGCGCCCCTCCTAGGCCCTGTAGCGCCCCTTCCAGGCCCCTGTAGCGCCCCTCCTGGGCCCCGTCGCGTCCTCCCTGGGCCCCGTTGCGCCCCTCCTGGGCTTCGTAGCGCTCCTCCTGGGCTCCGTAGCGCCCCTCCTGGGCCTCGTCGCGCCCTTCCTAGGCTTCGTAGCGCCCCTCCTGGGCCCCGTAGCGCCCCTCCCAGGCCCCGTCGCGCCCCTCCCAGGCCCCCTAGCGCCCCTCCTGGGCCCCGTCGCGCTCCTCCCAGGCCCCGTAGCGCCCCTCCTGGGCCCCGTAGCGCCCCTCCTGGGCCTCGTCGCGCCCCTCCCAGGCCCCGTCGCGCCCCTCCTGGGCTCCGTAGCGCCCCTGCTGGGCCCCGTCGCGCCCCTCCTGGGCCCCGTAGCGCCCCTCCTGGACCCCGTCGCGCCCTCCCTGGGCCCTGTAGCGCCCCTCCTGGGCCCCGTCGCGCCCCTCCCAGGCCCCGTCGCGCCCCTCCTATGCCCCTTAGCGCCCCTCCTGGGCCTCGTCGCGCCCCTCCTGGGCTTCGTAGCGCCCCTCCTGGGCCCCGTTGCGCCCCTCCTGGGCCCCTGTAGCGCCTCTCCTGGGCCCCCCCCGTCGTGCCCCTCCTGGGCCCCGTAGCGCCCCTCCTGGGCCGCGTCGTACCCCCCCCGGTCCCGCCGCCCCTGCCCGACCCCGTCGCAGCCGCCCGGCCCCGTCGCGCCCGCCCGGCGCCGTCGCACCCGCCCGGCCTTGTCGCACCCGCCCGGCCCCGTCGCAGCCGCCTGGCCCCGTCGCACCCTGCCCGGCCCCGTCGCAGCCGCCCGGCCCCGTCGCACCCTGCCCGGCCCCGTCGCAGCCGCCCGGCCCCGTCGCACCCGCCCGGCCGCCGTCCCGCTCGCCCGGCCCCGTCGCACCAGCCCGGCCCTGCCGCACTTGCCCGGCCCCGTCGCCCCAGCCCGGCCCCGTCGCGCCCGCTCGGCCCCGTCGCCCCGTCCCGGCCCTGTCGCACCAGCCCAGCCCCGTCGCGCCCGCCCGGCCCCGTCGCGCCCTCCCGGCCCCGTCGGGCCAGCCCCGGCCCCATCCTCCTCACTGGTACGGTTCCCCCCCACCCCGCCTTGCTCCGTGCCGCCTCGCATCACACTGTACTGCCTGGCATCGCAGTACACCGCACTGCACCGCACTGTACCGCACTGCACCGCACTGCACCGCACTGTACTGCACTGCACCGCACTGCACCGCACTGTACCGCACTGCACCGCACTGTACCGCACTGCACCGCACCCCACCTAGCTGCACTGCCCTGCACCGCACTGGACTGTTCCTGATGGCGGCGGAGCTTTGCTTCGACGCTGAAGGTCAGCCCCTATAGTTCGAGGCGTGGCTTGCCGACCTCCGCCGCCAACTCACTGGCCAGCGGCAGGATGGTGAACCGCTTTCCGCACACCTTGACGGTACGCTCCCCTGCCCAGAACCCCCTGCTATTCTGCCCGCTGACCCCACACCCACTGAGCGTGAGTCTACTTCTGCCACTGCCCGTGCGCGCTCTTTCTGGCTTTCTCGCGATGCTGTCGCCCAGCTTGCCATTAGCAACGCCCTCCCCCCATCCGAGCGTCCTTGCTTTAGGTCCCTCACTACTGCTCAGGCATACTTAGATGCTGTGATCCAGCGCTATTCCACCCCTCCGGCTGCCTCGGTGGGTCGCCTGATCCTCCCGATGCTCTTTCCTGACCTTGCATCTTTCCCCACTGTCTCTGACCTCGCTACCCACCTGCGCTCGATAGAGGTGACCTGGCGCGCCGCCTGCACTGACGCACAGCTTAGAGCCCACCAGCCGCCCATTACCTCTACCCTCTACCTGCTTGCCACCCGCCTCCCTAACCGCCTTGCTGTCGCCCGCGACCATTTCCTTAGCATTCACCCCGCCGATCTCACCCTCACTGACTTTGTACACACCCTGACTGTGATAGAGACCCACCACCGCTCCATCGCCCAGGCGAGCGGTGTCGTGCCGGTCCCTATCTTTCAGGGTTGTGCCCCCGCCCAGTGTACCTTCTCCGACGGCTCTGTCGCAGTGGCTGAGACCGCTGCTGCAGCGCAGTCTCGTTCGGGGAAGGGCCGCCGCCCCAAGGTTGGGCGCGGCGGAGGCGGGGGTGCGGGAGGGGGTAGTGGTGGGGTCGGGTCGTCTGGTGCTGGAGCGGACGAGGGGACCCTGCCCAGTCCGGCTGAGCCGCCGCCCCTGCAGTTGAAGCAGCCGCAGCAGCCGCCGCAGTCACAGCCTTCGCCGCAGCCGCAGCAGCCGGCGCAGACGCGGCAGCCGAGTGTCCTCCTGCCCAGGTGGCCTGGCGCTGGCGGTGGCCGGGCGCGTGGTGGTGTGTCGAGTGGTAGCTCTGGCGGCGGGCGCTGTCGGTACCAGATCCAGACCGGTCCTCGCCGCGGCTTCGTTTGCGGTAAGATCGGTCACTCCACTCCCCGCTGTTTTCGTCGCCTGGACGACCTCTTTCGTCAGCGCTTCGGCCCGTCGCCAGACCTCCCGGACTGGCACAGTTTGCTTAGTCGTAAGATTCAGATCTTTGATATGGACATGGATGCCATTGTTTCTGCTCTGCATGTGATGTATGCTGATGACTCTAGTGTGCTTCCAGCTTATTACTCACTGTTGCCTAGTGTAGGTGTGCCTAGAGTAGCCTCCCCTGCTGCGTCAGGCGTAGGATCCTCTGCTTTGTGTAGTCTTGGTGCTTCCGCCGTCGTTCTGTCGCCAGCCGCCTCTGCTTCGCATTCCTTCACCTTGGACTCTGGCGCTTCTCGGTGTTTCTTCCGCGACTCCACCACCCTGACGCCGCTTCCTGTTCCTGCTGCCGTTTCTCTTGCTGACCCCTCCGGCGGTCCAGTAGTCGCCCGCAGTTCCACCACCCTTCCCTGCCCGGCGGTTCCTTCGGGCTCTCTTATAGGTCTGCATATCCCCTCGTTCTCCAGGAACCTAGTTGGTGTCGGCTGCCTCCAGGACCTTGGCGTCACCACTACGTTCCCTGGTCACGAGCGGTATGCTGTCTGTACCGAGGCCGCCACCGGTGCCCCCCTGTCCACGTTCCCCCGGGACCCGGTGTCTGGCCTGTTCACTCTGGACACCATGACCCCCCCGGCTGGGGCGCTCCCTCAGGTGGCTGCGTCTACTCAGGTTGCTGCTGCCTGCTCCTGTCGGTCCCTCACTCACCCGACGCTCCTCTGGCACCACCGCCTAGGTCACCCTGCGCTCCCGCGTCTGCGTCACATGTCCCAGCACGGTCTTGTCCTTGGTCTCCCAGGTTCTCTCCCCGCGTTTCCCTCCTCCCCCGCCCCCCCTTGCACGCCTTGTGTCGAGGGTCGGCTTCGCCGTGCCCCTCACTCCTCCTCGCTTCCCCCTTCCTCCGCGCCGCTGCAGACCCTGCACCTAGACGTCTGGGGCCCCGCCCCTGTCCCTGGGCCGTGTCGAGAGCGCTACTTCCTTGTGCTCGTCGACGACTTCACTCGTTACACCACAGTCTTTCCCCTGGAGCGCAAGGCCGACGTGCCTGGCGCTCTCATCCCCTGGCTTGTCTCTGCACGTGTCCACCGCGGTCTCCCTGTCCTGCGTCTTCACTCAGACCGTGGTGGCGAGTTTGCCTCAGGTGTCCTTGGTCGCTTTTGTCGTGCGGAGGGCATCACCCAGACGTTCACCCTACCGGACTCCCCACAGCAGAATGGGGTCGCTGAGCGACGCATCGGTTTGGTCATGGAGGTGGCTTGCACCTCCATGATCCATGCCGGTGCACCCCATTTTCTGTGGCCGTTCGCTGTGCGCTACACTTCTCACCAGCTTAACTTGTGGCCGCACCCTCAGCAGTCGCAGGTTTCGCCGACCCGTCTTTGGACTGGGTCTCCTGGTGACGCGTCTGCGTTCCACGTCTGGGGCTGCCTTGCTCACGTCTTCACTTTTTTTTCTCCCCGTGTTATCCGCCACCGTCACAAAAAAGTCGCCCCCTTAGGAACTCCGTTCGCAATGCGTGCTCTACTATCATAATATAAGAACACAGGAGATGTGAATGGTGGGAGGAAAGTGGACTGAAGAGGCGTCCAAAGCCTAAAATTAAGAGGGAATTGTGGAGATGCTAGGAAGTGTTTGTTTGGCATAAAAAAAAAGCCTGAAGGAAAAATGCTACAAACGAGGGACCAGGACAGGAGAAGACTATACCTCCCTTATGTTTTCAGGTTGAGCCCAACAAAGCAGAAAACTTACAGGGCTTCCAAGTTTGTGAAAAAAACCAACTCCATTGGGGATTGTGCCAGTGAGTCTATTGTTATCAAGACATCTGTGATGATGAGCACAAGTTAAAGGAGTACAACAGTAGATAGGAACAAGTACATTTATTGATAGAAATATGATGACAATTGTCACTGTAATGGGTGATGACCATAAAACAGGAGAAGGGAGGAGAGAGGTTTCCTTCGCTTGCTACAAGTAACGTATGACATCAACACAGGAAGCAGGGAATCACAGAATCAACATGGAGAAGTGTAAATGGAGGGCCATACAGTATTGGCAGTGCTATCAACGAGCCAATGGCAGCAGGAATAGAGCTAGTGAAGGCACTGTTGTTCAGACGCATGTGATAGTGAAACGAACAACAGGGGATAGTGGACCAGCTAAATAGTTAAAGATTGGAGAGAAGAGAAGTGAAGGTGGGAAAAGGTCAGACGAGAGACGAGAACGAAACGAGAGAATAAGATGCGACTATTTGAGGGTGGCCAGCATTTGGGTGGGAGGAAGCATGCGGCGATAGGAGAAATGGCAGAAGATAAGTGGGGGAGAGGAAAATCAACAAGAAGCTGAGAGTGAAAGAGGAAAACAAATCCAGAGGAGGAGAGATGGAAACAACCACAAGTGATACGAGACTAGGAAGTAAAAAGACCTGTTAGAGTTGCGAGCGAATATGGCAAATACTGTACAAGTTGGAGCACACATATCTCGCTCGCCATATAAACACACCTATGCCACTTAAGGCTTGCCCTTCCCCTGGCCATAGCTCACATGGTTCTCAGTCAATTGAGCGCAGAGAAGCTAGCAGGGATACTGTCCGAGAGCTGGTTGGATGAAAGATCACTGGGATGAGACGAAACATGCAAAGAGTAGCAGCGACAACAAAGCCTCTGAGATGAATTGTACAAAAGGGACTGTGAGCATATGGCTGAAGAGATGATCAGCACAACAAAGGTGAGAGGAGATAAGTATAGAGAACCATCAATAGAAACAATGTTGTTTGTACAGGTTAGATGGCACACAAACGAAGAAGATTACTTGTGCCGTCACTAGAAGACATCGATAGTCTTTGCTTGACACTTTATGTTTTCTTGTTATTGTAAACAAATGACATCCACTTGACATGAAATAGCCCCCAAACACTTTTTTGACATGCGGATATTAGTGGTGAGGGGAAAAAGGGAGCCAGAAAGCGCAGGACGTTCTGCTGCAAATCCACTGCATGGACCTGCAAGTGGGTAGCAGGCTGGCTTCTCTTGGCAGCAAGGTGTGTTGCCCATACTGTCAGAATGAGGAAACGCTGGCGCACTGTTTATTTGTGTGTTTGACGATCCTGCCAGTGATTGGGACGCTTTTATGTGCTCTGCGCATGATGAACCATGTTCGTTCACCGCAGTCGTTGGATGATCTGCTATTTCAAGGCACATGCACCTGGTCGGGTTTTCTGGAAGCTACCATCGTGGCATCGACGCTGCATTACATTTGGCTGGCGAGGTGTGACGCGGTTTTTTAGTAGAAAGGGTTCCAACAGAAGAAGGTGCGGTGCCAAATTGCGTGGGCTTTCCACCTGCATGCAAGGACATACCGTGGCATCCAGCGGAGAGCTGTTAGGAGGAAGGACAAGGCGGATGACGGGTCTGGTTGGGGACACCTGACAAAGGATGAGGTGGCAGCACTCCGCCTCATCTGCACCTCGAGTACAAGGCTACTGACGTGGGCAGATAGGTTCAAGTCCATCTGGAGAGATCCACACACTATCTTCAACCCGCCGTAAGCATCCTCGAGGGTCTGGCGTCTGACCTATATCCCCCTTCCCCCCCACAGTCACGACTGATGATGTATGCATTATTTATAGTGTATTCATTTTCCAAAAGAAAAAGTTACGAACTAGTAGGCTGGTGCTGCGCTCACGAGATGATAACTCTGGGGACGCCGGTTTAAGAAGCGCTACTATCCAGTGATTTGATTGTGAGGTGGGCAGGCTGGGACTTGCATACTGCTCACAAACAGACATTACGGGTGAGCAATTACTACTAGTAGTACTAGTACTACTAGTATAAGTACCGGTAGTAGGAGCGAGGTGGTGCAAGCCTATCACAGGAGCTAGCCTGCTACTAGTACTAGTAGTCGTGGCGGTGGTGGTAGTAGTAGTAGTAGTAGTAGTAGTAGTAGTAGTAGTAGTAGCAGCAGCAGCAGCAGCAGCAGCAGCAGCAGCAGCAGCAGCAGCAGCAGCAGCAGCAGCAGCAGCAGCAGCAGCAGCAGCAGCAGCAGCAGCAGCAGCAGCAGCAGCAGCAGCAGCAGCAGCAGCAGCAGCAGCAGCAGCTGCAGCAGCAGCAGCAGCAGCAGCAGCAGCAGCAGCAGCAGCAGCAGTAGTAGTAGTAGCAGCAGCAAAGAAAGCATGTCTGTGGCATGCTTTTGGCGACGCTAGTAGTACTACTAGACTTCTCGCACGCAAACTAAGTGGTGTGTTTTTGGCGACACCGCTGCCGCAAACTCAACACCCAGCGGGGACGTCATGGCGCGGGGCGGACGTCGTGGCGCGGGGCGTGCAATTGCCCGCACGCGGTGCGGCTGCAGTGAGATGGCGGATGGCATCCACACCACACGTTCACCACCTCGTGTCAAAACCATTGGTTTTCCCCGACTCGGGGAAACCTGTAGTCCTATACAATAGTAGTACTCCCTCAAGGGGTGAATGCCATCATTCAGTAACGCGACTCCCATCCCAACCAGTGTGGGTGCCCAAGCTGTGGGTTGGTGGGAGCTCCGCTGCAATAAAAATTGTGGCCACGTGACTGGGATGATGGGCCACGCAACGAAATTTCCGCGGCAATGAAGAGCCATCGCTCCACTCCACAACCAACCGCCTCTTTTCCGCCATGCCTGCGATGATTTTACACTAGACGGGTGCAAAGACGCTCTCAGAGAGCGCATGGGTGCATTCACTCACTCGACTTGCCCGTGCCCGCGTTCAACAGAGGCAGAGCCTGCCCTGCCACTGGCAGTATAGTACTTCTAAGCTGGGTGGGACTATGTTGCTGGTGCTGCCGTAGTACTGTAGGCTGTACATTGTCTGATGCTCGCTCGATGCATTTAGTTCAGTTCAGAATCGGCTGCTGACATTCGTATGTCGTCGCCCTCTCACAAATAGTTGCCATGAGACTGTTCAGTGGTAATGGCCTGTTACAGTGGAGTGTGGATCAGTGCTAGGGTACGATTCCGTGAGAGGAAGAGGCTGTTCGGATGGCCCATCGGGAACCCGCCAGGCCAGGCCGAGTCGCGAGTAAAAGAAGGTTCCCCTACCGAACCAGAATGAAGAAAAGACAATCAACTCGAATGTGCGGGTAATCTGATCGCGTAGTTAGAAATGCCAAAAAAATAACCGCGTTGGTCAAACCAACAGTGCACTATAACGAGAGGGTGACAACATGTTTTCCACTGTGGCCTACCTACCTTAAAAAGAACTGACGCATTTCCAACAATAAATAAAAATTTCAGGGAACACCGATACGAGAAAAAACAACGTTGCCCGACTCTGATAAAAAAATATGCCTGTAGTTTGAACAGGGCCAACTAACTAGCATTAGGACTATTGGGGGGCTCTACAAGTCGTACAAGCGAGCGTCCTCACGCTGCCCCAATCATGCAGGCACATCCGAACAGCGTGGGTCGCTGGTCCTCATAACGATCCACCGAGCTCCGACCAGCGTTTTCCCTGTGAAACACTATTTGTCTTTTCTGATTTATTATTGAGCTTCCCAAAATTCGGCCTGGGACCCACTGGTTCCAGGTTCGCCATTTAGGAGAGGCTAAATTGGAGGTATGTAGCGGTCGCAGGCCTGCTCGGCAGATCGCTTGGCTGTCGCAGAGGTGTCGAGCCTATCTGGCGGGATCCTGGTGGGTCCCCGGTTGTTCAACCAGACAAGGCCAAGGAGAGCGACGACGAGCGCATCATCCCACTTCGCTAGGGGGAGGAGGATTTTTGCTGGGCGCTTTGTAGCCACGCAAAACCGTAAGGGGGCGTGGTGATGGTGGTGGTGAACACCAGAGTCCAATTGATAACTGCGAAACGTTTTGACGATGTGCTGTGCAGCCCCCTTGGCGCGATTGTGACCCTCTCAAGGCTGTCGTCAAGCTTGGAGAACATTTCGATACTACACTATTTCGTGACAGAAGTATACTCTAGTGGGAAAAAAAATCAGCAACCACCCAAAACACAAAATGAGTGTGCGCACCAATCACAAATCACATACATGTTTGCGATTGCGAACCCCACTCTTTTGCTAAACCTGGCATGACATCAACTCACACTCATCCCAATCACCATATACCCAGCTCTCACCTACTTCCCTTCAACCTTCACAGGCTAGGAGAGGGGCCTTATTCTAGATTTAAAGCGAGGATCTCAAAACCCCCGAAGGCAAAACCTAAGTATCTTAAACAGGCATTGGGCGAAATAAACGAGAGTGACGAAGCGAGAAAACAAAAGGGGGTTGGTTCCGAGGTTCCAGTGAGGCCTCGTTATAACTGTCTCACTCGCCAAGCATGGAGCTGTGTTGTGAGAGGATAAGGCTTGTCGAATTGCCTATTTGCTATTTATTGAGTGTTATTTTGTGTGCTTTTCCTATTTGCTTATTTCCTTTTATGAAAACCCCTACACTCTTCTCCTACACATTAATATAGTACTAAACATATGTGTTACAGTGTTTCAGACTTTCCTTGCGTTACATGTTTTCTCTTGTGTGGAGCGTTCCGTCACCGTCACTGTATCTCTAGAATCCCTGCCGTGCTTCTAGATGGTGTTCCTACAGACGGTTTCACTCATTTTTAGAACTCTCTTAGAAGGTCCTAGTTACCCTTCCCTAGAGTTCTCGTACGTATAAATAGGATTGTGTCTTTGCTTGTATTCATTCAATACTTGACTAGTCATCCATTCAAGCTTCTGCTAAATCCTGGACATGTGACATGTATCACCTTGCAATGATCTGGCAAGCAAAGCAGGAAGGGGGGCACGATGTGGGGAGGACTGTTAATGTTATATATGTGCTAGGAAGTGTACTGCTTGTAGCCTAGCTATGGTTCTGACCTACTGTATATGGGGTACAAACCCTTAGATATTCTCGTTGTATGCCCTCTCTAGTCACACATTCTCTCGACATGGTATAGAGATAGGCACTCCTAGCCGTCACGCTTCCACCCTAGGTGCTATCCACTCCCTCCCACCCTAGCTTACCTCCTTAATCTTAGGTACACATTAGGTTGTTGCTCTAGCGTGCGCCGTAGCCTAAGCTCTTGTCCTAGGCTGCTGCCCTGCCTTTGCACAGCCCACTTGCTCACATAAGTTGATGAATCTATTGTTGTAGCCTTGGACTGATCCGAGCTAAAGCCAGATGCAAAGTTTATGTTGCACCACGAAGCTGGCATTTTGTGCTTCAAAACATCACTTTAGGCCGTTGCTCCACGCCAGCCAGGTACTGTACTAGTTCGACTCACAGAAGTTCCCCACCCATGGTTCGAAGTTGGGGGTGTCCCGTCCACAAGCTGCGGTGTATCCGGCTCATCGGGAGATGTCAACATCATGTGTCACCACTCCATCGCAGGTCCACGAGCAGTGATACGGTAGATCATATCTTCGCGATGTCGTCATTGACGAGGTTCCCATCCTAAACGTTCATGGTGAACAGCCATGCTGCCACCGACGTTGATCCTCGGACACTTGGGTGAACGCAGGGCGGCCGCTGTGACTTCAGTAGTCCAGCTGGCTTGCTTGATCAGGCTGGACTCAGCGATATTTTTTCCGGTGTTACTCCGCCTTGCTCTTTGCATCGTGTTGCAAGCCTGACGAAATGGGTATCCTGTGTTTTTCCTTTGCCGATCACTGCGGAACCTTTCGGTGAAACTTCGTCATTCGGCATGCCTCCAGTAGTTGCGACAACCTTTGTCTCAAGGCATCGGCGCAATGAGTCACGTTCTTCATTCAAGATTTTCAAGGCTTCCTCCATGGCCTTCATCCAAGTCGACAATGATTCGATGTCAGCAAGTGACCAATCATCATTTGGAGATCTTGGCATGGCGTGCGTGCATGCCGTTGCTCAAATTATAGTAGCAAACTCAGTCGTGGCAGTGGGTAATCATAATTAATCATTGCAACGACAGTTCTGCTGGGAAAACCAGGCAGTTACCCCACCGCCCTCCCAAAATGCCATGGCTACACGAATCTATTTGTAACCCTCTCGTAAGTCTATCTTCGAGAAAAATCGGGCCGCGCGAAGTTGGTCGATTAGTTTGTCTGCGCGAGGAATGGGGTATAATGACTTGATAGTCACTCGGTTTAGTGCTCGGAAATCGGTACACATTCGGTAACCTCGTCATTCTTTGGGGTAAACATTATGGGGGCAGCAAATGGAGATGAGGTCAGGCCCATGGATTGTTTTTCGAGTAAGTAATCTAGTTGTTTTCGTAATTCTTCTAATTCCATCAATGTCAGTCGAAATTGTCGCAGAACTGTGGGCTGCGTCCTTCTATTCGATGTTCCAAGGGCCATTCTAGTGGTAATCATTCGGGCAGGTCTTCTCGAAACTTTCTCGGAAATCTGCGAATCAGCTGCGCTAGGTCGGCCGGCACTACTGATGTCAGCTTCTCTAGATCGAACGGTTGTGACGCCCCGTCGACCGCACGAAGGACTACAGCGAAGACCTCTGCTCCCCGTGCGACTGCTCGTTTTATCGTTACGAGTTCTATCTGCATCACTCCCCATGTGATCCCCTTCATCCATTCTGGTAATACTAAACTGTGGCCGTTGATTTTTACCGAGCTGCCGGTCGTCCAATCTATCCTTTGATGAAAACATCGCAGCCAATCCCGACCCAGCAACATGCCGGAGCCTTTGAGTGTAGTAGTCAGCATCCACATCGAAAAGTTGATGTCAGCTCCATACTGTACCCTAATCTTTTTCGTCTGGTCTTTTATTGCTAATGGGGTCCCATCGACTAGTCAGGCGTCAATCTCGGATAAACACCCACCTAGGGGTAACTTCGTTTTTTTTTTTCGTGGTCAGGTTGATGACGCATGTGGCTGGTACCTTTGTCCACGAAGATGATAAAATTCCCCCCTGAACCCAACGCTATTAAATAGGGTAATCCGCCGCTGTTCCCTCCTTATTCAGCCGGGTTTGGTCGATCGCATGAATTGGTACCAGAAATCGACGAGGGCCATCCTTAACGGGCGAGCAGGTTCCATCAATAGTAGGCCCGTTAACTACCGATTTAAATAGGTTTCCTCATTCCTGCCACTTCTCTGCCCCTGATTTTGCTTCTTGCAGTATCCCGGCCTATTACACCCGAAACAGCAACCCTTGAAGGCTGAAACCGTTGTGTTTGAAGTTGTAACAGCGTGTACAGTGGCACGCTCGATTGGTCCTCCAGTGCGATTTCCATCATAGGAATCAGCCCTT